TTAATGGCACACAAAACATTTACTTAAAACAATTATTATAAACCAAGACTATAAAGTTATAAATTTAAGTTTAAATATGTTAAATATTTTATTTAAATATTTTATTTTATTAAAATGACAACATTTTTTATGTATATACAAAAGAGTTTCAAAGTGGATCCCCTGAAAGGCTCTTCACTTATTCCACTGATGCTGTCCAGCCTTGGTGGCCCAGCGGTTTGGCACCGCCTTCGGCCCAGGGCCTGATCCTGAAGACCCGGGATCGAGTCCTGCGTCAGGTTCCCTGCAAAGAGCCTGCTTCTCTCCCTCTCCCTCTGCCTGTGTCTCTGTCTCTCTCTGTCATGAATAAATAAAATCTTTAATAAAAACAAAATAAAATTTCCTTTTAGTACTTTTTAACACTTCTATAGTATATTCTTCAAGAAAGAACCAAAATCATATGGAGATAAGTCTAAAGAGGATGTGTGACCAAGTGGCAACCCTTCAGGTAAAAAGGGTGCAACCAAAGCACGACATTTGTCCTCCTTTGCAAATGGTAACCTCTCAAGATTTTTTTTCCAAAGAGGAATGGCAGGATTGCTGGAATGAGTATAGGAGAAGATGTTCATTTTGAATTCATTCCACACATTTCCTGAGGAAATGTGCCAAGTTCTGCATGAGACCTTTGGAATATTTTTAAAATCCTCTTATCTTTATAAAATATAAAAGCCACTCAGGTTTTGGCATAAGTAGCCACAAATAACAACTTGCACAATCTCTGTAACAATGGACCTCAAGATGATTTAGGAATTTAGGAAATTTAGGAGTATACCTTGGATAACTCTACAGTTGTCAGAATTTTTGGCACCCTCTTCTTTTTTTTTTTATTTTTTATTTTATTATTATTTTTTTTGGCACCCTCTTCTTCAGCGGGTTGAATACTTCCTGTCATGCCAGACTACTTGGAATGCCTGCACTTAAAGGCACTGTGCCAGTTGATATGTCCCATGTATGTCAAATCAGATGCACTTTGAGTGATTATCAACACTTTACTTGAACTCATCATCATCCCTGCAAATCTATCACTTATCTCATACCATCATCCTCTGTAAACTTCAGACACAGACCTGGTTGGTATCTTAAATTAATGACTCTCTTATTCCCCAAATTCAACTTTTCATAAAATTCTACCCATTTTACCTCCAAAGGTTGCTTTGTATTTCACTTTTACCATCTCCACTGGCACTACCGTAGTTGAAGTCCAAAACCTGCTAAGGCCTGCTAACAGCTGTCCTTTCTATCATGCCTTCTGGGGGGGTGGGGGGGGCCTACCGTCTCTGTCCCAAATACAAATCTGCACCTTCCCCATAGTTTCTCCACCTTACTGCCAGGTTGATGTTTACACGATGCCCATGATGTCTTCCTTTCGCTGATATTCCTTGGTGCCTTTGGGTTTCTGCACAATGCCTCTCACATCCTTGGATGCCTGGGGCCCTGCCTCACCTCTATCACTCTTCATCATAATCATACACTTCAGTCCCTACAGTCTCTCATACCTCTGTGCTTTAAACAGGTTATATACCCTCTGCCTAGATTTTCTCCAAACACTAGTAAATTTCTGTTTACTTCTCAAATCTGAGACCATGTGTTAACTCTGTGATGCATCCCCTTAACTTCCACACCAAGGACAACTAATGAAGGAAATAGTTATGGTTCAATGTATCTCTTTCCACTAGATTATAATCTTCTTGAGAGCAGGGACTGAGGTTCACTCCTCTGTAAAACCCAGTGTGCCTAGCACACAAATAACAAATTGTGCTCAATGAACTGAATGAATCATATGCTAGATCTAGAGGCTCTTCAAGGACAGATCAGCAACTTTTGCCACTGAACACACTTTTCTGTCCAGGGCAAAATATTCTGATTTTGGCCCTGGTAAAACCTGAATTAGATGATTTCCTGGAAAACAGTCTATACTCTAGGCTGTCCTAATAAGCAACTACTCCTTAGAGGAAAGGCTAAACAGGCCTGGATTGCCAATATCATTGTGTGATCATTCACTAGCTATTTAACAAAATACTCAGCCAAGGTTACCTACATATAAAAAGTTTTAAGGCAGAATGATGGCCTTCAAGGGCTTACAACTCTGAGTCAGTCTAATTCATAAGACCTTCCATAGGTCTCTCTGATTAAGATTAAAGTATTATCCAAAGGGACACCTGGGTGGCTCAGTGGTTGAGCATCTGCCTTTGACTCAGGGCATGGTCCTGGGATCAAGTCCCACATCAGGTTCCTCACAGGGAGCCTGCTTCTCCCTCTGCCTTTGTCTCTGCCTCTCTCTCTGCGTGTCTCTCATGAATAAATAAATAAAATCTTTAAAAAAAAAGTATTATTCACAACTCACAGCCTTTTTATAACCTCAGAGGCCACCACCTACCCCCTCCAGTCCCCGTCAGGCATTGTATAAAAACCTAACAATATTAACAAGAAAACAGTTACCACTTTGCTGTGCTTAGGAGACATGTGGTTAATTGAAATACAGGTTGACATGCAATTTCTACCTTAAGTTTTGCATAGCAGTTCTGCAGATGGTCCATATCACTTCCCAGTTTCAGATTCTGTGTTTCCACATTTTCCTGAGCTAGAAGGTTCTTCCGCTGAAGTACAAGTAGCTCATTCATACAATTTAAAACAGCAACTATATTTAATTCTCTCTTTGTGTCTTTACCTTTGGATTCTTCATATAATGAAGGAAAACCGAAAGTAGTCAATTCCTGGTAGAAGAAAATGTTTTCCTCAAAGTTGGTTACCAGATGACTTAGTATAGAAACAAAAGACAGAAATCTTTTCTCAGAAATAATGAAAACCATCCTGAGTCAAGAAATTATAAATATCCCAAAGGACAAAGAAAAGAGAGAACTGGGCTCTTTTTAGTCTCTGTTCTACAACTGCCTGTATCCTGGGGAAGGAACTTAGGTCTCTGCATCAGTAAAATTAAGGGAGAGATTCCCAGTGGAGAAGCCCCTAGAGTGAGGTGGAGGCCAATCTACTCCTGACAAAAAAAATATCTACTAGATGATCACAGAGCTCTCTGCATATCTAGTATGTTCTAAGTCCCTGGCCAATATATAACAACATATGTGTGCTTAACAAGTATTTTCCTCATAACTTTGATATGTTCTATTATATAACATGATTTATGCAATTGCTTCTCACAAAATTTTTTTTTTACCTGATCAAGATACGAAATACTTTGTTCAATATTCTCTTCTGTGCAGAAGGCACTGAAAAAACTGTGCACATTTTTTGATAAAGGTATTGAAGAACATAGCACTTGCTGTGAGTATAAACTTGATGGAGACATCTTTGTTTCTGAGGTATATTGACAGATATTTTTGCTTTCTGGAAGAACAAAAAAAGCATTTACTTAAATTTACAAAACATATGGAAAGCCCCCGTCAGGAACAATCTCTATCTCCAGGCTATCTCCTGAACTATCTCCATTCCCAAAGATTTTGAATTATATAAATATTTTTAAGTATTTTCAAATTAAGACAAGGCTGTTTTTCTATGAAAATACATAAAGTTGACCCTTGAACAACACAGAGGTTAGGGGCAACGACTCATAAGATGAAAAATCTGTGTATCACTTCTGACCCCCCACAAAACTTTACTAATAGCTAGTGTTGAAAAGAAGCCTTGCCAATAACATAAACAGTTCATTAACACATATTTTGTATGTCACATGTATTACATACTGTATTATTACAATAAAGCAAGCTAGGGAAAAAATTAAAATCAGAAGGAAGAGAAAATACATTTACAGTATTGTACTATAGTTATCGAAAAAATGTGTGTATAAGTAGACCGACAAGGTTCAAACCCATGTTACTCAAGAGCCAACTGTACTTTTTTTTCAAAAAGATACAAATATACAGTGCCCTTAGTAGGCATGTTAAGCTATATTACCTTAATTTACAGTATGTCAGACATAAAAATAACAGACAAAAATAAAAGGAATAAATCACAGCAACGTATTGAAGTAGCCAATAAATTTATTTCAAATGCATAAACATTCCTCTCAAAAACAGTAACAAACACATCATCCATCAAAGGCACTGAATCCCACTGATTATGGCACAATTCTTAGCTTTCCCAGATAAATTTTCTGAAGATAAAAATTAGATATTTTAAAACTATCTGTCTCTCTAGTCACATCTTCAATATTTGTGGTAATTATTTTGTTCCATTTAAATATTCACCTTTATAAATACTGCTTTAGTTGAAATTTATTTTAGACCTAGTTACCTGAAGACAGATCTGGATCTGTAACAGTCATCCACTCTCCCATAGCAATCACCAGAGTCAGGGTACCTGAGGAACCAGTTCAGCAGTGAAACATTTAGTCCAGCTGCTGTCACTCTTCTTAGGTAGGCATCTCCTTAAAAAGCAAATTGTAGAACAGTAACATTTAACTAAAAATATAAAATCAATGTGTAAAAATAAGGATTTTACATTTTTATTTCCATACACTCCCATATAGAACGTGGTACAGCTCAGTAATAACCCTGTGTATGTATGTGTATGTGTGGGTCTGTTTAAGGATCAGGAGTAAAGGGTTACCAAGTTCTACCAAGGTATTACTTCTTCATATACAAAGTACATGGTACATGATTTGACTCACAATATAAATCTAAGGTACAGCATCGTACTAAGTAAAAACGACTTCTATATTATATCCTCTAAAATAAAGTACGAGGTATTTATACAGATAAAAAAATCTTCTTGGCTAGCATTCTCAATTTTTTTTACTAACTATATTAGCAAAAAAAAAATACTATTCCCAATGTTAGCACAGATGTAGGAAAAATCATACTTCCATACAATGCTCTCCAGAAAGATCACATCAACTTAAACTACTACTAGCAATTTGGCAATACGTATCAAATTTTAAAAATGAAATACGTTTCTATCTAGAAATACCACTTTCAAATTTTTATCCTAATAAAATAACGATTTGTGTTTGCTCTGGTAACACAGACGAAAATTGGAACAATACGGAGAAGATTAACATGGCCTCTGCAAAAGGATGACATGCAAATTCGTGAAGCATTCCATACTTTTGTATGGGGAATTTAGGACAGAAAACAGATGAACACATGGCGAAAAAAGAGAGGCAAACCATTAAACAGACTCTGAACTATAAACAGTTGCTGGAGGAAAGTGGGCAGGGGATGGGCTCAGTGGGTGATGGGCATTAAGGAGGAAACTGTTAATGATGAATCTCTAAATTCTACACCCAGAAACTAATATTGCACCATATATTAACTAACTGGGATTTAAATAAAAACTTGAAAAAGAAAAAAAAATGATTTGTATAAAGATTCATCTACAAGTTGTTCTGGATAACATAAAAAAACTGGAAATAGCTTATACCTTCCACAGTAGGAGACTGGTTACATAAATGACACATTTATACAACAGAACACCTTTAAACACAAGTATGTAGAATTAGGGGGGTTACCAAATAGAAATGAATGAAGTGGACTATGTTTAAGAACCTTTCAAATAACTGTTTCACATAACATTTTCAGCCTACCATCCTGTTTCCACCTTTTTATAGGGAAAAATGGAATAAATAAATATTTCTCCATCACAAAAAATTCAAATGAGATTTTAAATGTCAATTGGGGATTTATTTCAAGGTCAGGGACAGAAGGAGGAGTAAAGACTGCAGGCAATCTGGAGAACATGTGCCACCACTCTGGACAGCTGCTTCTGGGCCACAATAAATTGTGGCCAAAAGAGAAAGCAGGTCCCAGGCTGCTCTTTCTTTCCATCTTTAAATGGATGTTGAAATTCGGGATTTTTATATGAAATCTCCCAACTTGTAAATGTTAAAAGCTAGTTTAAGAGAAGGGGGCGTGGCCGGAAGTTACACTCCTAACAACATTTTTTAATAAGCCAAATTAAATGTGTCTTTAGGCCAGATCTGGTCTGTGAATCAAGAGTTCACAACCCCTATTCTGAATATTTAAGATGGTGGAGAAATAGTCATAATGTAATACTGAAGTGAGATGAAAATTTTCATTCACCCAATAGGTTTTTAATTATGCTATTACGTGCCAGGCACACTCTTCTAGGCCCAGGGGAAGACCTGTTCTCAAGTTCACATTCTAGTAGGGGTGAAAATAGATAGCTAGGCAATAAATTAGCATAAGAGAGAGTGATGAGAACTATAAAGAAAAAACAAAACACAGTAACATGAGAGTACTGGCGGGGATTATCCATATTGATCAAGGAAGGCTGCATCGAGATGCTGACATTTGACCTGAGACCTAAATGACAGTCAACCACAATATGATCAATGACCAGAGCGCGGCCCAGGTAGAGGAAACAGCAGGTTCAAAGATCCCAGATGGAAATGAACTTGGGAAGTATGAAAACCATAAAGAAGGCCAGTGTGGTACTCGAGGACAGATGGTAGGAAGCTGGATTTTCTCTAAGTTGCAATGAAAAGCTCCTGAAGGAGTTTAGGCGGAAAAGCCAACAGGATCTTCTTTAGGCTTTGAAAAAGATCACTTCAGCTACTCTGCCTCCTGAGTAGATTACAGCTGGGCAACAGTGGGAGGAGGCTGGAAGGTAGCAGGCCACTGCAATATTTCAGGCAAGACGACCAGTTTTATACTACAGCTCGAACAGCAGAAGGAGACACAGGTGCACAAATCAGGGATGTGTTCTGGAGATGGAACCTTCAGGACTTGAAGACGGAACAAAATATGGGCAAAAGAGAAGTCAAGGATGACTCCTAGGTCATAGAGCAGCATACAGCATATACTAACGCAAACGATGCTGTGTGCTGTATTACATGCACACACATACAGGGGGCTACCCAGTCTGGCACGGGTTTTGCTATTTCTTTATTCTGCACGTTACTCTGCCCTTATATGGGTGCCTTCAGCAACAGGATTAGCAGGATAAAGGTTGAGTCTGCACCAACGATTTTACTTTTCGCTTTCAGAGATAGTAGCCATTACAAAACAGAATGCAAGGGACAATAAATCCATCTACTCTAACCTGGCTCACCTTGGGTAAGTTACTTAACCTTTCCAAGCCCTAGTTTCCTTACTGGTAAAGTGCCACAGTAATGACTCTTACTTCATAGTTTCCCCTGAGGATTAAGTGAGATCATGCACATAAAGAAGTATTCAGCACATGGCCTGGCATATGGGATGCACGGAATTAATATCAGTTATCTTCGTCATCGGCATCATCACCATCATCTGGACACAGATCTGTTTATAAATGACAGGATTCCAACACCTATAACAGAAGGCACTGTTGCTCTTAATAAAAGTTGATCACCTTAGAAAATGGAGACAGATATCCTCATAAAAACACATTAGGCAGTGGGATTAATTCCTTGTCATTGTAAGGCTGAGGGGAGGGACAAGAGCAGAAGAGAACAGAAATGGGCATTTCCCCAAGCCCTTCTTGTTCCTGTTTTTTGTTTGTTTGTTTGTTTGTTTGTTTTTTAATAAGACACAACAGGGACACCTGGGTGGCTCAGCGGTTGAGCATCTGCCTTTGGCTCAGGGCGTGATCCTGGGGTCTCGGGATCGAGTCCCACATCGGGCTCCCTGCATGGAGCTGCTTCTCCTCTGCCTGTGTCTCTGCCTCTTTCTATGTCTCTCATGAATAAATAAATAAAAATCTTAAAAAAAAAAAGACACAACATTGTCTTAAGTGCCTTTTCTCCTCATATAAAAGATCAAATGCCAAAATGTCTACCATACATCCATTCTTTAAAATTGTAATTTCAGTTATTCTTCCTCTGTGAATTTAGCTTTCCAGCGTCTAGAGGCTTAGACAGTGAATTGCTCCCTGCCCCATTAACTAAAATAACAAAAAACAAAACAAAAAAACCAACTGTGAAATATTCAGATCTAGTTAAACGTTCACAAGGACGACCAAAACTCCACTTTGAAGCACTAGGAAACAAAGAACTTACCAACAGTATATGGTTTCACACAATCTAAAAGTTTCTATGTATTCTCTTCTGTTCAATGATGCACCAAATTATACACTAGGAGGCTTGTGATAAAAGTTATCCAACCAGACTATTAATCAATATACAAACTAAAACCAGGAGACTTAAGTTATTCTGTTCTAGCTCAACCATAGTCAAATCTTATTGTTGAAGGTTATAAACTAGTTTATAAGGATATTATAATAAATAAACAGTTTCAAAAGCAAAATGGTAACAGAAGCATCCATCTCTGCTTTGCATAAACCTAATATTGTCCCAAGCTTCAAAAGCAGCCAAGAAGGACTCCATTAAAGATGAGTGCTGGAACACACAATGAAGTTCCCTACTACAGATTAAGCAAGTCATAGCAAAGCATTACATATTGGACCATGAGCATCCATGACAAGTCATACAAGTGTGCATGTAATACAGCACACAGCATCGTTTGCGTTAGTATATGCTGTATGCTGCTCTATGACCTAGGAGTCATCCTTGCTTCTCTTTTGCCCATATTTTGTTCCGTCTTCAAGTCCTGAAGGTTCTATCTCCAGAACACATCCCTGATTTATGCACCTGTGTCTTTTCATTACAGAAAAGGGGAAAAATCTAACAGTAAATCATATTTTGTTTCAAGTAATCTGTAACCCCCATATCTCTCTCTATACCATTGGTGAGGGAAGTTGTCCAGATTCTAAGACAGGTCAAACTCACAAGTGAATTTAATGAACAAAGCTTGAAGATTAAATAATTTGGCCAACCTGTAAAACTCACTTCATTCATCCAAGACTGTTGAGGAATAACCTTGAAATAAAGTAAGAAAAAAATCTATAAAGTAATCTATAAGAGTTTTTCCTTCTAGTCTTTAAATCAGAGAGTCAATAGTTTTACTCCTTCCGGTGGATAACATGTATACGGGCACTTAATAAACTTCCTTGATTCCAAGTATTTTTCACTGTACATTCCAGTAAGTGAGTCTACATAACAGAAAGTTTACTAATTGCAGTAGCACCACAATAATGTCAGTAAAAACATTCCCTTACTATTTCTGAAGAATTACTTTGGCTTCCCTAGTATGTTGCCAAAATACCACTGCCATATTTCAGGTGTAAAAAAGCAAGGGTACTCTGGTCTTTCCTGGATAAAATGATTATACAGACCTTAAGAATTACCTAAGCACTTTCTAGGCTAGAATCCTGACAGAAAATTAGGAAGTAGTGAGATATTTGAACTTAATATAATTGTACCCTTTCTGAAAAAAGAAGATTTTAATGAGTTTCATAAATCTATCATTCTTTGTGTCAAAGCACTTCTTTCATATATATTTCTATTACAGACAGAAAACCTGGTCTCAGGGAAGTGAACAGGATTGCCTGAGGCCACATTTCTAATTGGCTATAAAAAGCCTGGACACAAACCTGTCTTCAAAAATGTTTTCACTCCATCACCACGTAACATTTCTACGCTATCCATGCAAACCTCTTTAGAAAGAGAGTTAAAATAAGAATTAAAAAAAGATTAAAATAAGAATAAAAAAGATTTCCACCAAGTTTCTTTAGAAGAATGAGTTCCATAGTTCACCTGAAATTATTCCACTCAGAGCATACAATCCTTTAAAGAACTTATTTACTACTTAAATTGAAGCATAATTGTAAGCTTCTTTGCTATGCTACAAATGGCATTTTTTTCTCATTAGAAATGCTTTGCTTTGAAAAGGTTTAAATACCTTTCATTCTCATTTCTGAGATCAGTCCCATAGAAAGTTTAATGTGGGTGAAATAACTCATCTTACCATTTACTATCCTAGAGTAAACATTAAGACAACACCAAAACTAAAAGTTCATAGAGTTTAATAAAAACATTTATGGTTAAGGGTAATTACACCTGCTTGGTTTTTTTTTTTTTTTTTCCCCTCTTCCATCAGAAAAGTTCCTTGGCTGCTTATTGCTCTTTCTTTTAACCAAAAGACTCCGGGGGTTCTCAATATACAATAATCACTTGTAAAATCTGGGAGTGGGCTGCCTCCAAAATGACTTGCAGTTACCCCTGTTACCTGGTATACATACTTTCGGGTGCCTCTGCTCCTTGGCTGTGGCCT